GTGGGCGGGGGGCCTCTGCCAGCAGCACGGGACATCTTGGGCCTGGCGCCAGGTGGCAGCCCCCTCCCCACACACCTTCCCCAAGCCCCCTCTGACCTAGGCAGCCCTCTGTAGTGAGCCTGGGAGCCGGGCCATGGTCCCTACCCTTGATTCTGTCCTGAAGGCCCAAGAAATCTGCAGGGTCCAAAACGGGCCGGGTTCCTGGTAACTGGATCATCTCCCGGAGTTCCTTGAGGGTGGGGTGGGGAGAGAGGAGGTCACACCCAGACGCTGTCCACCTGAGCCCCACCCTCCACCACAGAAGGCACAGGCCCCGCCGTCCTGCCTGCTCCCCTCTTCCGTCCCAGGCACAGCTACTCCCAGGGCCCCGCCCCACTGCACCTCCCAGGGGAAACCCCCTCCTTAGGACCCTGTCTGTCTCCTGTTGTCCCAGCACCTTAATGGTGAAGGCCACTTGCAGAGGTCCACGCCGGCCCACTATCCACACCATCTTCACCTGACTCTGCCTTAGTACCTCCAGGGCAGCCTCTGTGATATCTGTTTTCTGGCACAAAAGCAGGGTGGTAAAGTCATGGGACCCTGACCTGGTGAAGTGGCCTCGACATCGGGACCCTGAACCAGGAGGCTGGCAGCAGGAAACTGTATCACTGCCCCCACCTGGTGGCCACATGGAGCATTGCTGCCAGCTCAGCAAATACCTCTGACTATCAAAGAGGACCAAACCAGGCCTACAGTTTCATTCGCCAGGAATATACAGTGTCTACCATGTGACCAGCACCACTCCGGGGGCATGGGGTGGGAGTCAGGGTGGAGTGGAGGCCAGTGGTCATTGGTCAGGGGTAAGCAAAACAGACATCCGCAGAGCTTCTGATCTGGTGGGGAGAGAGGTGGCACCAGATCGTCAATGACTATAAACTTGCCCTGGCAGTAACAGGCTACGGGACAGACAGGTGGGTCTAGAAGAGGAGACCACTGCAAGGGAAAGGGCAGTCTTAGAAGGCCTCCTGGAGGAAGGAACAACAGAGCCAACAACTACAAAATAAATTTTAACCATTCACTGGCAGGTGAGTCGGAATGTTCCGAGCAGGGACGCCGCGTGTGCAAAGGCCCTGCAGCCACTGTCGAGTGTCTTGGTTTTTCCTAAAGGCCCACATAGCCGGAGGGCAGCAAGTGCAAGGAGAAATGGAGCGAGGCGAAGCGCACGAGGCTACCGTACAGAAGGCCTCTGCATGGGCACCGTGGGAGACAGCGCTAAACAGCGAGGAGGGGGCCTGAGCCCTTCGTGTGACCCCACCTCCCCATCTCCAGCCACCGCTCACCTCCAGGTGCTCGGGAGGGGTCAGCAGGATCCGGGCCACGTCCAGAGCCACATTTCCTTGCCCCAGGACCACGGCTGTATCGCAGCTCAGGTCCGGCGCCAGCTGGAAAGAAAGGTCTTGATAGAGTCCCTTCAGCTTGGCTCCAGCCAGGCCAGTATCAGGCTGCAGAGCCTCATGCCCGGTCCCCAGCCACGATCCCAGGCTCCCCAAGCTCGGGAAGCCCGCCCACCTGAGCATCCACTCAGGTCCCTCCTCCCCCGGCCTCCACCTTCCCAGGTCCCCCCCCAGCTGGCAGTTGGCCAAGGTCTCACATCTCCCCGCACCCTACACTGCGCTGGCAGCAGCTCCTTCCTCTCCCAGCTTTGGCAACCCAGGGGTTGCTCCTGGCCCCAGCCGGGTGGGGACGAAGCAGCAGCTGAAGTGCCCCCGACTCACCTCCCGGTTCTCAGGAAGCCCGTTGTACCAGCCCACAAAGGCCCTGGCCGAGAACACGCCAGGCAGCTCCTCACCAGGAATTCCCAGGGCCTGATGGTCCTCTGCCCCATAGCTCTGAGGACAGACGACAGACCAGGCCAGGGCCCTTAGCACCAGGACTGAGCACCCCAGTGGCCTCCTTCCAGCCCCCTTCTGCAGCTTCCCACTTGGCTCCGGCTCCAGATCCCCACCGCACCACTCACCAGCACCACGGCATGGTAGGCCTCCCGCAGCTCTGGCACCGTCACGTCCCTGCCCACCACCACATTGCCTCGGAAGGCACAGCGGGCACAGCGGGCCGTCTGGGTGAACGTGTTGATGACATTCTGTGGGGCGCCCCCACGGTGGGCAAGGTTAGAGGGAGGCAGCGCCAGGGACACCTACACCCCCCACTGCACCCCCAGGACGAAACCTGTGTGGCTCCACACAGAGGGCTGGGGTCACTCCGTCCAGCCAGGGCCTCCCTGTCCTCAGCTCAACAGAGGTCCCCACAGAGACTCACCTTCACCTCAGGGTGGTCGGGAGCCACACCAAAGCGCACCAGGCCAAAGGGCACAAGCTGCTTCTCATAGATGTCCACGTGGACCTGGGGGTGGTGCTGGGGGAGCGGGAGCGGGTGGCAGTTGGTGGGGCTCAGGACAATCCCGGGACCCCTTTCCCTGGGCCCTCCCCTTCCCTGGACGGAACAGGAGAGCCCAGCTCAGTGGGCTGAGGACACTAGGTGGCTTTGGCCCTCTGCAAGGAGGGAGCTCGCCTCAGCTCCCCACCTACCCGAGGGCCAGACGAGGGGACCGGGGCAGAACGAGCAGCATGTCAGCTGAGGTCAGGTCCCCAGAAGGACCACTGGCCCATGGAGACCGCCAGCCAGGGAGGGCTGCGGCATCCCCTCCACTGGCATTGCATGAGGGGTTCCTTCTTCTGCCGGGGTCAGGCCTTCTGGAAACACCCAGCCAGCCTGCTGACCTGAGAACCACCCTGTGAAATTCTATCCGCCTCCATGCTAGTCTCTAAGATCACCGTGTTGGCAAGGGACCCGCCAGACAGGGTGTGGGCACAGCGGGGGACCCAGAGACTGAGCTGGCCCCACTTCCAGTTCTGGTTCCAAGTTGCCTGCTCTCCTGGGCCACCTCATGGGACCTGCAGAAGGCGCAGGCCAAGGGTCTGCCTTCGACCCGCCCACACCTGGTGAATGGGTCTCCCGTGGTCTCTGTCTCCCCTTTGCAAACTGGGAGGGGCAACAGTTCTCCCTCTGGGCTAGGGAGGCATCTGGGAGGTCAGCATGAGAGACTCGGCCACAGCAGGTAGGGACAGAGGACACGGCCCTGCCCTACCCCCACCCGGGCTTTGCTGATGGGGACCCTGACAAATGAGCCCAGCCCTCAGTCACCCTCAGTACAGACATCCCACCCCTGACTCCACTGCCTGCACCAAGTCCAGGCCGCTGCCCCTTCCTGGCCACACCTCCTCCGGTGGCTGCCCTAACCCCGTCCCCAACCCCCACAGTGCCGGAGCCCATGGCCGTGGGTGCCAGTCTGAGCCCCACCACGCACTGTGCGAAGGGAAAGCTTCTGAACCTCTCTGTACAGCCGAGCGCCCCTCCCGGAAGCGGGCCGAGGTTAAACGAGTAAAGCCCAAGCGCTCGGCCCAGGCTCACCCCACATAAGCACATGCTGTCGCTGCTGTCTCACGTCACTGCCTTACTCAAAACCTGCCCCGCGCTCACCACGGCAGACCAGTTCAAACTGCTCAGCCCGGGGTGCGGTGCCCTGCGCACACAGCTCGACTTCTCGGTCTTTCCTGCCACATGCCTTTTGCTTTCCCCAAGGCCACCTCCTGAACCCTAACTCGACTGTCCCCTTATCTCGCAAGGCTGACCTCCCCCTCCAGCCATTCCCTCCTAGGCCCCTGTGTGTTCCTTTCTAACAAGGACAGTCTCCAAGGTCCTTCTGATCTGGGCCTCTGCCTTCTCCCTGGGGAGCCTTGACCACTCCCTCCAGCGACCTCAAACTCTCATCTGCTGGTCACGGTCCACCGTCTCCCCTACCCAGACCGGTCCCCAAGCTCTAAACCTGAGGCTTTGGATGTCTCATCCCAGACGTGTCAAGCCCACCCAGACTAAAGCCAAGTCCCTTCCCCGGAAGCTCTCCTCTCCTGCTCCCATGTCCCTCCACCCCGCCTGCTCTGTTCCTGTCTCTAACCTCCCCACTGCAGCCTCCGGGGCTTCCCTGATGCCACCCCAGCAGTTCCCCACTCTCAGCCACCAGCCCTACCCATACCTGCCCTGCAGGCAGGGAGAGCATCCCAAATAAACAGTGGGGTCCTGCCAGCCCCTTGCCTAAACCCTCCACGAGGCATCCACCCAGTGGGGTTCGCTGCCGGTCCCTGGGCTCTTGCCACAGAGACCAGTCAGGGCCGACTTGGGCCAGAAATGTGCACTTTCCCAAGCTGCCCCTGAGGACCCCAAGGAGGAGGCACTGTGACAGCACCCAAAGAAATCCGGCTGAGTCCAAAGGGTGGCCAAGGCTTCTGAGCCCCCAGAACCCGGCCCCACCTCCTCCCAGGCCTGAGCCTCTTCTCCCCCGGAGAGCCGATCTCCCTCCTCCAGCCTTTGCCCACTCGGTTCCCTGTGCCAGGAACTCCCTGCACTTTGCCCCATGACCTGCCCTCTTCTGTCCTTCCCCTGCAACTTCCATTTCTCTTCCTTGGGCTAGGTTAGGGGTCTCTCTGTGTACCCCCTGGTGTCAGAGCCCAAAGCCACCCACCCACCTTCTCAGTAGAATGGCAGGTCTTCGGGCACAGGGCCACAGGGTCCTGCTCGCCCCATGCTGCCTGTGCAGCCGGTGCCTGGCGCATGCGGGCATCCGTGCATGACCATACATGACCGCTGCATGGTGACTGATGGCCTAGCGGGCGCGGGGGAGGGGGACAGGGCTCCGCCTCACGCCGCCCACACTCAGATCCCATTGCCCTCCACACTCCCTTCTGTCCTCTCCTGTGAAGTCCTTCATGATACCGACTCCACGGGTTGCCGCGGGGATGCTAGGAGGTGCTGTACGTGCCGCCTGACTCAAGCTAAGTGCCACTGTCCCAGATGTGCCTTACTTGGTCCTGTCCTGGGAACATGGCAGCGTCCAGGAGCTCCGGGGCCAAGGATCAGCTGGATGGGCTCGGAGCTGGCCTGTCTCCACCCCCAGCCTGTCTCCCGAGGAAAGCACGTGCGAGCTTCTGCGGAGGAGTGCAGGTCGGAGCTTTGCTCACATAGGCGGCGCCAGCACCCCCGCCTGGGAGGCCTACTCCCCCCTCCCGGAGTTCAGGCTCAGCTACCACACTGCCCTTCGTATAGGCTTCCCCAGCCTCCGTGAGCTCCCTGGTCTCCATCGGAGAGACCGGGCTTCCTCCCACGTGGCCTTACGTTCCAGGATGAGGCCCCACATATGGGAGGCCCATGCCAGAGCTCACGGCCTTCTCAGGGGACAGTTTCTGACGGAGCCCGTGGCTGAGCCCACCCTGCTCACATCCACGCAATAAGCTCTTTACCTGTGGCTTGGGAGGCACAGCTCGCCCCGTTTCCCTGAGACCCTCCTGGTGTTAGCAGGAGGCCTCGCGCCCTGGGCAAACCTCAACAGTGGTCACCCGACCTTTCGAGCACCTGCGTGTATGTATGATGAATGCCAGGGGGACTTCAAAAAGTCCATGGAAAATGGAATTAAAGTATGAGTTTATTTTGGTGCAAAGAAAAGCAATAAATAAATAAATAAATCAGGGACTCTCAGGTGGCATTGTTAAGGAAGCTGGAGTCCCGCATAGACAACCATGATTCGAGTCCCAGACCCGATGGCTTGAAAAATCACGCCAGGTACATGTGCACGTGTGCCCCAGAATCCCAAGTGTCCAATAGAGAAGGGATTGTGGCATGGCCATCCTTCTTGGGGGATGATTTCTCACTTTCCCTCTCTCTGTCTCTGTCTCTCTCCTCTCTAGGGCATGCATGCACACTATGGCAAAAAATACTAACTGAAATCCATGACTAGTTTTCTTCAAACTATACACTTTCCATAAACGTTTTAAAGACCCCTCACATATTCATCCTGGCCCATGCCAGGAGCATCTGAAGGTGCATCCATGATCCTAGCTGTCTGGAAGGCAGGGGCAGGGACAGGGTGGGGACTCGTGGTACAGTAAGACTCTGTCCAGGCTCCCAGTCTCTCTCATGAAATAAACGCACACACATAACCTTCTCCTATTTCTCCACAGACAGCCCAAGCCCTCCGAAGCGAGGCCACTATCTCATGTCTTAGTCAGCCTGCCCCCCAACCCCCACTCCTCAGTCCCAAGGTCCAAAGTGGAGTCTCAGATGTAACCAGTAGCCTTGGAGCCCTGTCTGCCAAGGCCGATTCTGAAGATCTTGAGACCCTGACCTTTACAGAGGGAGGGGAGCAGAGGGCAGGCTGGGAGAACAGAGTAGCAGGGAGGGCTGGAGCTATGGGTGAGGCGGGCAGGGCGGGTGGATGAGGGAGCAGAGCTGAGGAGAGGGGCTAGCCTCGAGATGCAATGTTGGGGATAGAGCGAAGGCAGAGGAGAAAGAAGGGACGCGGAGGGGTGGACAGTCACCCGCAGGTCCACACAGCTCCCTGGAGGCCTTGGCCTAGCAGACATGAGCGACCATCGGCACCGAGCCCAGAGTCGCCTCTGAGGCAAACACATGTCCCCACTGCGGAGGACCTGGAGTGGGTGTCCCCAGACACAGGTGTGGAAGCAGCAGGAAGTGTCTGGCCTAGGCGGGCTGGGGCCCCTCCCCCACCGGCCAACCTAGAGGGTCTGTAAACCCAGAGCAGTGCGACTGCAGCAGGTGAATGACCCGGAGGGAACCAGGAGGAAGCAGCTTACCTTCAGCAGGTACTGGGCCGTGTAGAAGCCGGCTGGGCCGCTCCCCACCACACAGATCTGGGGGCTCTTTTCCTGTGTGGACAACTGCTGGCGGAAGCCTGGGGCTGAGCAGAGGAGGGGGAGGAAGGTCAAGCCAATACACCCTCCCAACCCCAGACCATCCAGTGGCCAGGGAACGATGCTGCCCAGCTTCAGCCTCATGCCCGTCCTTCTCTTCTTCCTCAGTGCTTTGGCGTTTGCCAGGTCCCTTACTTCATTGGAACCCCCAAAGGCCATGTCTTCATCCCCAGCCCCACGCCTCATGAACCTACTGGACTACTAACAGTGGCCTACCCACAACCTGCATCTCCCCTGAAGCCCCCAACCCAACCCTCCCTCATTTTCATAAGGAGTTCCCTACCTGATGGGCTAGTATGGACATCCTTCCAGTAGATTCTGTCTCATCCCAGTTTCACCCCTGTGGATCTCCCCACAACCCCCTTGCCTCTCCCAACCCTCCTCTCCCCACAGAACTATTTCTTCTACCACTTCCAGTCTCACTCCTATAGACCCATTTTGCCCGACTTCCTTCTCCCCGAGACCTCCGTCTCTGTATCACACCCATTCACCCCTTCTCACACCTGTTGTCCTCGTGGTCCCTTCTTTCCACCTTTGTTATCCCTCGTCTTACCTGGAGGCCTCACATCTCACCGCACCGGCCCCCACCTGCCCTGTACGCCATCCCCATCTCGCAGGCATGCACAGACCCCCTCCAGTCTCGCCCCCTCCAGCCCCGTCCCAGCCACAACATTTAGCACTCGTAGGCCTCCCGCCCCCCGTCCAGTCCCACAAGTGCGTGCCCTGCTCCTACTCAGTGCGCTCCCAGCGAAAGGTGGTCGCGAGCGAGGCCACGCTGACCAGTGCCACCAGCGCCAGCCGCGCGGGGCCATGGCTGGGAACAGAGACCAGCAGACAGATCAGATCGTGGTCACTGCGCGGAGCACGGCGCCGGCTCCAGCTCGGACTTGGCCTCGCCCACAGGCTGGGCCCCGCCCCGAGCCCCGCCTCCCCTGCTCGGGGAAAGCTCAGCGTTACGGATCCAACTCGACCCGCGAAAAAGTGCCTGCCCAAAAGCAGGGCCCGCCCCCGGGCAGGCGCTACCGCCCAGGCCCCGCCTCCCGAACTTCCGTACCCTCCAAAGATCGGACCCTGGAGCTGGAGAGAACGAATCCCCACCGCTGTTTCAGTCTCGGTCGAAGAAGGGAGCCAATTAGAGATGAGCTTATTTTACTTAGTCGGGAGGTTCCCCACGCTCTTTGATGACGCATTGAGTCTTCACCTCTCGATGGCGCGTCCTCTTGCGTGTTTCGTCTCGACCAATCAAGAGTCCGGCTCCAAGCGAGCCTCCAGCCGGTTGGGTAATGGCGGCGAGTCCGGAAGTCAGGGGAAAGGGGCGTCTCCCCACGACCCTGCCCACCACCCTCTGCACGGTTCTAGTGAGGGACGGGAGGGCGGGAGCAGCGACGTCTCTGCGTGGCTAAGGACACGACCCGATCTCCGGCCCTTGTCTGGCAGCGCCAGGGCCAGCGGGGCACTCGCCGCCGATGCAGGGTTTAAAGAGCGCCAAAGCACTCAGTAATTAAGACAGTGTTGCCATGCAGTGTTTGGAAAGAACAAAATTAATGCAAAAAACCCCAGGAACAAACTTGTTACGGGACAGATGTGCGGCGTCGCACAGTAAACCAGTTTCTGAGACCAGAGTTTGTATAGAGGAAGGCTTTATTGCAGAGGATAACTGGAGAGTGGTAGAGTCCACGACTCAAAGTATAGGCTCCCTGACTCGGGGACAAGCAGGGCTCTTGATTTGTTTTAAATTGCCAGGGGGCGCCAGTGTTCACCAGAGAGAGAGAGAGACAGGGAGAAAGCACCCCCAATGGATCATGATGACTGCAAGCCTTCTTTTCTCCGTCCTATAGGGATTGGGGGTTCATGAGCTGGCCTGGCATTTTTCAAGCGGCCCCCGCCCCCAGGATTTGAACCGATGGTGGTGGGCCATGTAGGATCTGGCTTCCTTTTAAAAAGGAAAAAAAATATATTTTATTTAACTTTATTTTATTTTAACTTAACCAGAGAGGGACAGAATGAGAAGAGAGGGAAAGTGAGAAAAACAAGCCACCAGGTCCAGGACTTGAACCCACAGTCAACCATATGGGAGTCTAGTGCCCTTCACCACCACACCACCTGCAGCCCCTCAATCTAGCATCCTTAACTACTAGGCTATGGGCTGGCAAAACCAGGCTTTTAAAAACAAATGAGGGTCAGGGGTAGGAATTCATGGACTTTCCACTGGTTATCTGACCTGATAAGCCTAAAGCCTCTTTTTTCTCCAAGGTCCCACTTGTTAAACATTGCTTTTATGAACTACCCGCTCCCAAGGTCAAAGGGGCTTAAGGCCTCTTCCCTAAAGCACCCTACCCTACTCCTTCATTACTTATTACTCTGCCTGTCTTTTTAGGTTTTTGCCATAGGGTACATGCGCTCAGCAAAGAAAGAGACGGAGAGAAGGAAAGGGAGAGATTCCACCCCCCCTCCCCAGAGGATGGCCACACTGCAGTTCCTTCTCCTCCATTCTCTTGGGATTTTGAGCAAGCACCCAGAGTGATTTTGAAGCCACCCAGTCTGGGACTCAAACTATGGTAGATTATGTGGGAATCCCGCACCTTAACCTCCACGCCACCTGCTTGTCACTTTTTTAATGATCTTTTTGTATTGAAGTATATAGAAAAGTGCACAAATATTAAGTGTACAGTGAATTATCATGAGGTGTAACCACATAACCACCACCCAGATCAAGAAACAGAACATGGGACCAGCAGATGGTATTATGGTTACGTTGCTGGACTCCCACGTAGTCCATTACAGTTCGAGTCCCGGGCCTGGTGGCTTAAAACTCATGTTGGGCACATGTGCGTGCATGCCCAATATCTCAAGAGGAGAATAGAGAAGGGATTGTGGTGTGGCCATCCCCTTTGGGGGGTGATTTCTTGCTTTCTTTCTCTCTGTCTTTGGCAAGCACACATGTCCTATAGCAAAATTATCTCTCTCTCAAAAAAAAAGAAACACTAGCCCTGTGCCTTTTCTCCTCTCTCCTACTGAGAAGCGAATGCTCTGATGTCTAATACGTCGCCGTGTGTTTTGTTGTCCTACTAGATTGGGAGCAGGCAAATTGTCTACAGCTGGTCGGCAGGTGATCCAAACTGGCCTGTTCTGTATGGCCCACAAGAATGGTTTTACCCATTTTAATGGTATTAAGAAACTTTTAAAGAATATTTTGTGACAGAGCCAACAGATGGTATGGAGGTTAAGATGGCTGGCTCCTAGGACCAGAAGATGGCATAGTGGACCATTCACTGAACTCCCACATAGCCAACTGCAGTTTGAGTCCCCGACCCAGTGGCTTCAAAATCACATCGGGCTGGGAAGTTAGCGTAATGGTTATGTCGCTGGACTCCCACGTAGTCTACCGCGGTTCGCGTCCTGGACCCGGTGGCTTCAAACTCACACCGGGCGCGTGTGCGTGCATGCCCAAGATCCCGAGAGGAGAATGGAGGAGAAGGGATTGCGGCATGACCATCCCCGCTGGGGGGTGATTTCTCGCTTTCTGTCTCTAATGTCTCTGTCTGTCTGGCGAGTGCATGTGCCCTATAGCGAAAATCTCTCAAAAAAAAAAAAAAAATCACACCAGGCTTGTGTGAGTGCATCCCCAAGATCCCCAAGAACAGAGGAGAAGGGATTGGCCTTCAGCCGTGTGGAGTGATTGCTTCACTTTTCTTCTCACTATCTCTGTCTCTTTCTCTCTGACGAGCGCAAGTGCACTCGGGCAAAAGTTTCTTAAAAAAAATAAATAAATAAGATGGCTGGATCCCACATGGCCAACTGTGTAGTTTGAGACCCAGACCCAGTGATTTGAAAAATCATGCCAGGCACGTGTGTGTGCGTGTGCCCAAAGTCCTGAGAGGAGAATGGAGGATTAGGATTGTGGCATGGCCATCCCTCTGGGGATTTATTGAGAAATTACTTTCCCTTCTCTCTATCTCTCTTCGGTGAACACACACACACTATAGCACTTAAAAAAAAATCTTGTTGCCAACAGGCGCATGGTAGTTAAGACGCTGGACTTCCCAAATGACTGACTGATTCAAGTCCTGGACCTGGCGGCTTGCTTTCTTACTTTCTCTCTCTGGGCAAATGTTAAAAAAATAATAATAATAGGGACCAGTAGTTGGCGTAGTGGCTGTGTCTCTGGACTCCCATGTAGTCGACCGCGGTTTGTGTCCCAGACCCGGTGGCTTGGAACTCACACTGGGCACGTGTGCGTGTGTGCCCAAGATCCCGAGAGGAGAATGGAGGAGAAGGGATTGCGGCGTGGCCATCCTCCCTGGGGGGTGATTTCTCGCTTTCTGTCTCTCTGTCTGTCTGGCGAGCGCACACACCCTATAGCAAAAACCTCTCAAAAAAAAAAAAAAGAGTCAATAAAAATAATAATAATAAATAAAATTAAATAAAATAATTTTTTTAATTTTGCAACATCTGAAAATTATAAGAAATTTAAATGTCAGTATCTGTGAATAAAGCTGTATCAGAACACAGCTGTGCTTGTTTCTTTACATGCGTTTATGGCTGGTTTTACACCTTGATGGCACAATCGACTCGTGTCAGACTGCATGGTCCACAAAGCCCTTTACAGAGAGCCGACAACCCCTGCGCAAGGCTGACAGCTCCACAGGGGCAGGGCCCCATCTCACCCGCTCCGAATGTGCAGTGTCTGGCACATGGTGGATGTCTACCATTGGTCTCGGGCCAGCCTGTGTCCTGGACATTAAGGGAGCTGGACCCTACTTGACTGACCATGCAGTTCTTGCAGTTTGAGGCTCTGACTGGCAACTTGCAAATGCCATCTGTGCACACATGGCCCAAATCCTGAAAGGTGGGAGAAACAGAGGAGACGGGACTGCGGTGTGACCATTCCCCATGGGAGGTGCATTCTCCTCCTCTGTCTTTCTTTCTGGCAAGGGCACAAGCACCGAGAAATTTTTTTAAAAAGAGTTTGTCTCCAGGACCAGCAGTTACCATAATGGCTATGTCACTGGACTCCCATGTAGTTGACCGTGGTTCGTGTCCTGGATCTGGTGGCTTAAAACTCACGCCGGGAGCGTGTGCGTGCGTGCCCAAGATCCCAAGAGGAGAATGGAGGAGAAGGGACTGCGATGTGGCATCTCCCCGGGGGATGATTTCTCACTTTCTGTCTCTCCATCTCTGTCTGGCTGGCGAGCGCATGCACCCTATAGCAAAAACCTCTCTCAAAAAAAAAAGTTTGTCTGAATTATAAACTAGAGACAGGATCAGAAAGCTCCATAGGGGTCGCCTTCTAGAGACAGTATGTCTGGTGGTTAAGAACAAGGATTCCGGGAACCAGCAGTTAGTGTAATGGCTATGTCGCTGGACTCCCACGTAGTCGACCGCTTTTCCCGGACCCGGTGGCTTAAACTCACGCCGGGCGCGGGTGCATGCGTGCCCAAGATCCCAAGAGGAGAATGGAGGAGAAGGGATTGCAGCGTGACCATCCCCCCTGGGGGGTGATTTCTCGCTTTCTGTCTCTATGTCTCTCTCTCTGTCTGTCTGATGAGCGCATGCGCCCTGTAGTGAAAACCTCTCAGAAAAAAAAAAAAAAGGATTCCAGTGTCAAGACACAGTGGGTTTGAATCCCTCCCTCTTCCCCCACTTACTAGCTACTTGACAGAGAAAAATTCATTCTCTCCACTTGTTCACCATTTGTGAAGGAACAAATGGTACCATCTGGTTATAAGTATTGAAATTAGAGAGAACAGCAGATGGTGTGGTGGTTGGGGTGGGGGGCAGGAACAAATGGTACCATCTGGTTATAAGTAGTGAAATTAGAGAGACCAGCAGATGGTGTGGTGGTTGGGGTGGGGGACTCCCACAGGGCTGACTATGGTTCGAGTCCCAGACCTGGTGGCTTGCTTTCTCACTTTCTTTTCTCTTTCTCTCTGGTCAAATTAAATAATAATAATAAATGAAATGAAATAATTCTTAAAGAGAAAAAGATTGCGATTGGATGCTGTAGGTAAACATCTGGGCTAAATGCTAAGTAAATGTCAGCCATTGTCAATATCACCACCAGGACCACCTCCCACATGCCTCTGTAAATAGGTCTCACCCTTCATTCACTACTCCCCTCCCCTCTCAAGTGTAGGTATTCCCAGCCCTTGTCCTTAGACGAACAGAGAACTGAGGGGCCAGCAGGTGGCGAGGCAGAGGTGCTGGACTCTCATAGCCAACCTGGACCCGGCTTTCTCCTTTCTCATTTTCTCTCTCTCTCTCTCTCTGGTGAGCACATGTGCCCTATAGCAGATTTCCAAAAACATAAATAAATAATAAATAAAATTAAATAACTCTTAACAAAAAAAAAAAAACAGAAAACTGAGCCTCAAAGCAATCGAACGCCTGTTCCCAGGGGGCTCATGGTGCAGCCAGGTCTGGCACCAGGGCCTCCCCCTGCTGCCCACCCCTACTCAGGCCCAGATCAATAACACTGAGTCAGCAGTTATGTCTTCGGATGGCTTTAAAAACTACCCAGGGGACCAGCATGGCATAATTGCTATGTCACTAGACTCCCATGTAGTCGACCATGGTTCGAGTCCCGGACCCAATGGCTTAAACTCACGCCAGGTGGGTGTGCATGCGTGCCCAAGATCTCAAGAAGAGAATGGAGAAGAAGGGATAGCGGCGTGGCCATCCCCCAGGGGGTGATTTCTCACTCTGTCTTTTTGGCGAGCAAATGCCCTAAAGAAAAAAACCTCACAAAAAAAAAAAAAAAAAAAAAAAACAACTACCCAGGACTATGCATCTGGGGCCCTTTCTGCCATTGCATTTCTCATATGGGGAATTCGCAGTTTGATTAATCACCTGTCAAGACCCTAATGCCATTTCTGGGCTGCTACTGCATTTCAGAAGAGCCGGGAAACCACATAGCAAAGCAGCAGGACAGGGAGGCTGCCAAGCCGCCGCTCTCCAAAGGGGCTGCCTGGACCCCAGTACAAGGCTCAATGCTCGCTCAGCAGCCACGCCGCCGAGGGGGGCACTGAATGGAGTTTTAATGTAGGAGGGGTTTTTTGGGGGGAGAGGTTTTTTGGTTTTTGTTTTTGTTTTTTTAATGAAGGCAGGCAGTAGCTGGAAACCCCCACCCCAGGCCCTGAAGGAGCACGGGGAGGGAACTGTCTCGGAACTCAGGACCATAGCTGGAGGAGAGGGCGCTGGGGCAGCTGTGGTCTTCAGTAGAGGAAGGTCGGTGGAGACAAGGGGGAATAGGTCTGGAGGGGCTGGTGGCTGCCCAAGGCCAACCCAGAGACAGGCTCTTCACCAGAACGGGTGTAGAGAATGCCTTTGCCTGGCGTCCGGCCCCTCCACGCATTCCACGGGCCCCCCTTGGCTGGCATTTAACTTCCCCGTTATCAGGGTTGGCATGCCTTCTCCCCTTCCAAGGGCTTGACTGAAAAACAGGCAATTATGCACTCAGAAAATGCTTCCCAAGCGCCATCTGGGACAACTTTGCCTCCCTCCCCAGAGGATGTTTGGCAATGTCTGGAGACTTTTTAAAAAAGAAGTATTTATTGTTTCATTATTATTATTATTACTTTTTAAACTTGCTATGGGGCACGTGTGCTCACCAGAGCGAGATACAGAGAGGGAAAGTGAGAAAGCAACTGCCACGTCTGAGACTCGAACCATGGCCAACCATAGAGGAGTCTGGCACCCAACCACCACGCCACCTGCTGGCCCCTAGAGACATTTCCGATTGTCACCACTTGGGCTCCTGGCAGCCAGTAGGTAGAAGCCACGGATGCTGTGAACATCCCACAAAGCGAGGACAGCCTTGAGCAACCACTTCCGCAACCAGACGCCACCTCCAAGCTGGAAAGCCTGGCTCATGTTCTAACTACTCCGGCCTCCCAGCACAGGCCCGGCTTCTTTCTGTCCCTCCTGCACCCTCCACCTGGGCACTTGCTTGCACACTCCCACCCCCGTCCAGCCTGTGGCTGGAGGAGCTCCCAGCCCTCTCTCAGCTTTGCCCACTTTGGGCTGAACCTCGTGGTGCTCCCCAGAGCCTTGGCCTCCCCCTCCAGCATCACAGTTCCCTGTAATTCCCGGCCCCACTCCCAGGCTTCGGCCTTTCCTTCACATCCAAGCCGGGCCTGGCACTTGACTCCACACTCTTCTCTCTGCACCCTCCCTCCCCTCCCACCTCCCCTCTCTCAGGCCATCATCCTCCAGACCCTGTTTCCAGACCCCTCCTGCCTCAGCTGCCTCCCAGAATTCTCTCTCCCCGTGTATAGTTCTCCTGGGCTCACCGCTTCCAAACCAGGGCTCAAACGAGACTTTTCTAGAGCTGGTCAAGGTCAGGCTCAGAGCTATTTATACTCTGCCCAGCTCTGTCCCCGAGGGACTGTCCCCTGTCCCCACGAAGTACTCTCACCATGCCTCCCCTGACACGGTGAGCCTTGGGAACTGCTGAGCCAGTGTCCCGCACACCATCTTTGGCTGAGAAACTAGGAAGGCCTGCCAGAAGGAACCTCGGCCCGGTCCCGGGGAGAGGGTGCCTTGGGGAGCCTCAAAGGGTGTGGTTCGAGCAGTGAGGCTCTCCTGGCACCAGGGAGTCCTGGCAAGGGGGCTGGCCCTTGTCTCTCTGTGCCCCCTCCTATCTCCCAGGGGCCCCTGAACAGGATCCCTCCTCATCCCCCTCATCCCCACCCTAGCCTGTCACACTCCAGTGGAACAGGGGTGAGGGATCCCGCTGTCGGTCCTGAGATGAAGCTGGCTGAGGTCCAGACTGACCTGAAGATGGAGCCACCCTGAATCCTTTACCCCGGACACCTCAAGACCTAGAAAAGCAAGCCGGGCAGGGGCAGGTGTCCCCTGGACTCAGCACATGAGGCCTCGGGCTCCCTGCCCACCCAAGGACTCCACAGGTCCAACACCAGCCCCCAAGCTGCACCCCGGGCCCAGCAGCAGCAGGAGGGCCAGGAGGGCTGGGCCAGGGAGAGGCGCAGGGGAGGCCGTACAACCAGCCTTCACTGCACCCCTACGAGCTCAGTGATTGGCGGGGCCTGCACCATGAACTCCTCGTAGCGGCTGAGAAATAGCCGGAGGCGAGCCAGGTATGAGTCCTCGTTGTAGGGCAGCTGCTTCTCATGGAGGAACCGGGACACCACGGGCTTCACCTGGTGGGAGATTGACAGGGGGAGGGGCCAATGAGCAGGGCATGTGGGAATGGGTGGGCCCACTCAACCCAAGTGGGTGCCTCTCTACAGCCCTGGCTCCCATCCTCTGGCTCCATGATGCCTGGGGAAGTCAGGGGCTGAAGTTCTGGAGAATTCTTGCCTCTCCCACCCACGAGCAGGTGAGGCAAAGAGGGCTTATCCGGGAAAGAGGGCTTCTCCCCCACGTTCTACCCCAGGAATGAGACGACACCACGGCTCTCCTTGGCACAGGGCACTGAAACCACACCGCCCTTCTACCAAGTGCCTACCATGGGCCGAACATTACAGATCTGGGGGGTCTTCGAAACGTTCACAGAAAATGTATATTACGAAAAAGCTATGCATGGATTTCACACTCTTTTGCACCAAAACAAACTCGTACTTTAATTCCATTTTCTTAGAACTTTTTAAAGTCCCCTCGCATTTCTTTTTCTTTTTCTTTTTTTAGAGAGGTTTTTGCTATAGAGTGCATGTGCCAAAGAGATGGAGAGAGACATACAGACAGAAAGCAAGAAATCACTCCCCAGGGAGGAAGGCCATGCCACAATCCCCTCTCCTCCATTTTCCTCTTGGGCACACATGCACATGCACCCGGCGTGAGTTTTAAGCCACTGCTGGGTCCAGAACTCAAACTGTGGTTGACTACATGGGAGTCCAGCGACGTAACCATTATGCCACCTGCTGGCCCCCCTCACATTTCGTCGATTCATTCTCAAAGCCTATCGACGTGTACAGCTTATACCCACCTTAGGGAAGGGGGGCTCAGAGGCGTTTGGTTAACCTGCCCAGAGCGCCCTGAGTAAGAAATCCAGACACCCCGGATCCGAAACCCACAGAGCTGCTTGTATACTGGGCAGCCCTTCTTGGGTGGCCTCTGACCACACCAGGTGGGGGACTCAGGGTTCAAGCGAACCCCGGAGGTTACCCTTCTGTGCCCTCAGATGCCCCTCCAGCCCAGCGGTACCTTCAGGCACATGTTGTCCGAGAGCCTGGGGAAGAGGTGGTGCTCCACGTGGCAGCTGATGAGGGAGTGCCCGAACGCCCAGTCCAGCACCGGCAGCCGCGGCAGGTTGAGCACCCCCAGGCTCATCATGTGAATCCGCAGGGGCTTGTGGTCCCGGGAGAACATGGGCAGCCCGATGTGCTGGGGCAGACAGGTGAGTCACGCCCTGGCCGGGCCAGGCAGCCCTGGCCCTGCCCACCCTGCCCCAGGCATCCTCACCACGTGCACCAGGGTCTAGTGGAGTCTCTTGCCCACCCCCACTCAGGTGGGACCAGGTAGAGGTGTGAGGAGGCCAGGGCTGGCCCTGGGCCCTGCGCTGAGTCTTGCCCGTCTGTACAGGGGCCCTGGCCTGGGCATCTCTAGGAACCTGAGGTTCTCTGATGCCCAAGGCTTCCCACCACTCAATCCCATAGCGCTAATCCTTTGCCTCGTCCCAGAGAGACCTTTCCTTTTCATCGATCAAGGTCCAGTTCTGCTGCCTCTGCTAGTTTTTCACTTCACAAGGATGAACAAGGGCTTCCTGTGCCAGGCATTGTCCTGGGTCAGGGAAACTCAGAGGTGAGCAGGAGGCCTTTCACGCAGGACAGTTATGGGACTACATGACAACTCAGTGTGGCAAGCTCCAGGACGGTGGGTGACACAGGGAATGCTCTACCCCGCGACCTGCACTGGTCTGGGAGCAGGGGGCATCCCTGGGGACATGGCGTAGCACCGAACGCCAACTCCTGGCCTCCCGGCTCCTTCTCCCCCTGCCACGGGGCACTCCCTGGGGCAGCTCCTTCACTGTCCCTGGACAGCCGTGCGTGGGTGGGAGCAGGCCAGGCAGCAAATGCAGCGGACAAGTGAATGCCTTCCCCAAGCCGGACCCTGTGGGGCACAGGGGGTGCATCAGGGTGGGGAGGACTCACCTGGAAGATGTTGACGTGGAGGTAGGGGTGGGCCAGCAGGGCCCTGGTGAGGAACATGCATGCCAGGGCCGAGCTGGGGCTCTTGAAGCCCGACAGGTTCAGGAGCAGCCAGTAGTGCCCATAAAGGCCCAGGGCCATCAGGCCCAGCGTCCGCACAGCTGTCCAGCCCTCCACCTTCCTCAGCCGCTCTGCCGGAGGGGCAGGAAAGAGCGTCAGGGGGCAGGCAGGGGCAGCCTCCGTCATGAGCTGTGTTCAAGTAACCCACATGGCTCTGAAAAGTGGGCTCAGCCGTTGTATGGATGAGGCAACAGAGACGCTGAGCCCCTGACCAAAGTCGAGACCAGGATTTGAACCCAGGGCTAGCAGCCCCATCGCCCCTGCTCCTTCCACTGTACGAGACTGCTGCCGTGATGTAAAAAGTAGTAACAGGCAATATAACATGTGCTTCTGCACAGCAGGTTTTTTGTGGGGTTTTTTTTGAGAGTTTTTTTCACTATAAGGCGCATGCGCTCGCCAGACAGACAGAAAGAGACATAGAGACAGAAAGCGAGAAATCACCCCCCAGGGGGGATGGTCACGCCGCAATCCCTTCTCCTCCATTCTCCTCTCGGGGTCTTGGGCACGCACGCACACGTGCCCGGCGTGAGTTTTAAGACACCGGTTCCGGGACGCGAACCGCGGTCGACTACGTGGGAGTCCAGCGACATAGCCATTACGCTAACTGCTGGTTCCCCACAGCAGTTTTTAATGTCTCTGACTTATTGTGCCTTCACCCCATCCTTGAGGTCTAGACAAGGAACTGGAGCCCAGAGAGGTTTCGTTACCTGCCCATGCCCACCAGCCAGGAAGTGGCAGACTCAGGAAGTCTCTGTGGGGCCTTAACTCAGGACTCCGGGCTTCCTCCATAAGCAGCCTCCACCAGGCCGGGAAGAAGCACACAGTGGGGGCGGAGACAAGGTCTCCCAAGGCACTGAGGCCCGGAGGACTTACCCACAGCCACCAACGGGGTTATGACAGGGATCATGAGAGGAGCAAGGAACATGTAGACGTAGCGGTTGAGGCCAGGCAGCCTCCATGTGCTGGAATCGCCCAGGCCCACCACGTTGGTGTAGGCGTGGTGCATCTTGACGTGTCCATACTTGGCGTATTCAGCAGTGAAGGCCGTGCAGACCTAAAGGAGGAACCACAGGGCGCTGGGGTTCAAGCAGAGCTTTTGGGAGCCTTGAGAACACTCCACCTTCCTGAGACCCTGTGTTTTCCAGGCCACACTGCCTTACGCCTCCAGCTTGTCCACGGGTGGCCTGACCATCAGTTCTCAGGTGTTCGTGCACGCCGAGTGGCAGGCAGCCAAAACGACTGCCTCCCCTGGCGCAGCTCTGCAAAGCGCGTGGGGTGGCAGGCCAGACCCCCGGAATGCCACTCTGCCGCTGCCCACACAGGCAGCCCCACCAGCCTAAGTCTACCAGGACTGGGTGCCCTGCAGGTGAAGCCCTGGCATCTGCTGCGACGCTGTTGCACGTGTTTATCTTGCAGGTGCCTGCATACCCTTCCTCTCTGCACTGCGAGCCCACAGCAGCAAGGCGAGGATGCAAGAGTAACGACGGGGTGAAGGGACGCTGCTCCTGCACAGTCCACCAGGCCAGGTGGGGGTGCGCCAGTGGGGCCTGAGTGCTAACTTCCCCGCGGGGTGGGCGACTCTGCTTTGGCTTGGGTCCTTAATGAGTATGAGCTCCAGCAGGGCCTGACTCTGGGGAGAGCAGACATTCCCAGCACGCAGATATATGCAAATGATATGCAGAGGTGACCCGCTCCCCATACTTGACTCAGGCAGGAGACTCTCCTAACGGTATTGCAGATGCTGCCTGTTTCCAGGAGATGTGAAGGGTGTCACAGCGTCAGGCACTGTGAGCAGGTGAAGACACCAGGACACCTTCACCGAGCGCTCAGGAGTACCAGGCTGGGCCACCTGCATGTCACAGACTCCTTCCAAATTGAACGGGTCAGTGGTGCTTTTGCTTGTTTTATTTTTTCTTCCATGAGAGAGAGAGACAGAGACAGAGAGACAGACACCCTCAGTAGGGTCTTCACAATGCCATCTGCCCCCAGCCTCAGCCAGCTCAGGATCACAGACATGAGCATGCCCAGTGCACAGGGAAGCCTCTGGACGAGAACCTGGAACCTTCTCCTGAAGGTCAGCTCTGAAGAGCACGGGTACCGTTGCCTCACCATCTAGCCCCCTGGAGGAGACCTCCATTCTGAACTCCTCTCTGTACGGGAAACTCGCTTTCTCCTTTTGCCTAGAGTAAACAGAGTGATCAACACGCCTACTGTCTTTGCTAAATAACCCTAAATAACCCGAACCTCCCTACCCTAAACGTTCCTTGGTGATGGGATTGTCAATCACTAGGCCCCTTGCCCTGAGCCATGAAGACCGTTAAGATCCCATGGTGTTGGGACCAGCAGTTGGCGTAATGGCTACATCACTGGACTCCCATGTAGTCTAATGCGATTGAGTCCCAGACCTGGTGGCTTAAACTCACACCGGGCACATGTGCGTGCGTGCCCAAGATCCCAAGAGGAGAATGGAGGAGAAGGGATTGCGGCGTGGCCATCCATGGGGGGGGGGGCTTATTTCTCTAGTTCTCTCTTTCTGTCTCTCTCTGGCACCTGAAAAAAAACCCCCTCAAAAAAAAAAAAAAAAAAAAAAAAAAGATTCCATTGTGTTTAGGTAGGGATAGAACATCCCCTTAGGAACGATTAACCTGCCTTTTTCTGCTTCTGTCACATGCTTTTGCTTTGACTTTGTTAAAACCCTACCCCTACCCTTTCACCCTTCCAAGCCCACTGCACCTTACCCTTGTGAGTCATCATGTCATCCCGGACACAATTGTGCACTTTTGGCCTATATAAGCTCCTTTTTCCTTTCACTCGGGGCTGCAGGGTTTTGAGAGACATGAGTCCCCCGTATGCCGCCGGCTTAATCAATAAACTCCAATCAGTTTGGCTGTGTCTGGACGTCCTCTTATTTCTCGCTGACTAGACTATAACACCCCAGAGTTGTTACTCACAGAAACTGAAAGAGAAGGAGGCCACGTGTCCCCAGCACCCAGCTGATGAGGTGGCAGAGGCAGGATTTGAACCAGAAGGCCCAGGTCTCCTGAAACTCCCGAGAGGAGCCACACGCATGAACCCGGGCTCTGGGTCCAGGCAGCAAGGCCAAGGTAGAAGAGCAATAAGGAATGACTCTGTCCTCACACTCTGTCCCACGAAATGGAACTCAAGGTGAACTGGAGCGGACAGCGTTACAGGACACCGAGGAGCACAGCTAATGGCATCGCAGCTGCGGTTTACTAAAGACGGGGAGGATGCCGGGCCCACGGTACTGCGCAGGCCCTCGGAGGCCAGGGACACGGACGTAAAAGCTAATTTTACGAGAGATGAAGACAGGAGCCAGGGAGGCTGTGGAGGGTGGGCAGATGAGGTGCCAAGTGACATCTCTTCCAGGCCCCTGGTCTCGGTGGGACCTGCCTGCTCATGAGCATCACCACTGGGGCCAGCAGGAGGTCTAGGCTGGTGCCAGAGCCTTTGGCAGGCAGCAGGCATGTGGAAGACACAGTTGGGGTCTGCTGGGATGGCCTCGGAGGCCGCCCTGCTTCTGCCCAGCGCCTGTACCTCACAGCCTCACAGCCCTGTCCCATCAAACTGGAAGAAGCAGCTGCTTTTTGTTTTGTTTTGTTTTGTTTTGTTTTGTCTTTGAGGGTTTTGACATAGGGCGCTTGCATGAGACAGAAAGAGACGGAGAGAGAGACTGAGAAATCACCCTCCCAGGGAGGTGGCCATCCCACAACCTCTTCTCCCTTCTTTACCATTCTCCTCCCAGGGCTTTGGGCACACATGCATGCGCGGCGGGTCTGGGGCTTGAACCGTGGTTAGCCATGTGGTAATCCAGCACCTTAACAACTCCACGCTACCTGCCAGCCCCAGAAGCCCCTGCTTTTAACTGCTCCTTCTTGCGTCTCTACTCCAAGGGCTGACCCTGCCTGCGTGGCTTCCTCACTCAGACATCAGCAGAGCAGCAGTCTGCCAAGGGACAAGGCTGATTCTGCCTCGGCACACGCCTTGAGTAGCGATGCCAGACACAAGCTGGAGTGGGGATTCAAGTGGGCGTCTTAGGAATTCAACTGTCAGGGCCGGCGCTGGACTCCCACATGGCCGACCATGGTTCAAGTCCCAGACCTGGTGGCTTGCTTTCTCCCTTTCCCTTTCTCTCGGTCTGCTCAAATTAAAAATATAATAACAAATGGAATTAAGTAAATAAATCTTTAAAATGAAAGAAAGAAATCAACTGTCAAGGCCCTGGAGCTTCTTAGGTTCTTGGCCAAGTGCCTGGCCCGTGATGAGGGGACCCTGGGAGACGGGGTGGGGGCCCGCGAGGCGCAGAACACATCACTTGTGACTCAGCACACACTGCCAGAGCTGGCACAATCTGCCTTTTGATAAGGGTGAGAGCAGAGCTGAAGGTATTTCTATAATGCTGAATTCTCGCTCCCCGATAGAGGTTCTCCCCTGAGAGGGAGAGAAAGGGGTGCATTTGGGCTGGAGGGGAAGATGGATTGCAGCATGTCTTCTGTGCCCACAACTCATCACCGACCGACTCAAGGGCAGCGGGAAACGACCACATGCCACTGAGCGAGTTGGAAAATGAACTATTTTCCTGC